CACACACACACACACACACACACACACACCCCTCCTCACCATCTCTCTTCCTCCGTCTGTCCTCCCGCATGTCACTTCCTCCATCTCTCTTCGTTCATCTCTCGTCCACCATCTCTCTTGCTCCGTCTCGCCTCCCCCATGTCTGTTCCTCCATCTGTCTTCCTCCTCCATCTATCTTCCTCCACACACCGCATGTTTTTTTTTTCTTTTTTTTTTTTTCTTTTATGTTCTCGCTTTGTTGCCGGCAGTTGTTCCGTCTTGTTCGTAAGTGCTTCTACGCACGCGGGAATTGGTTTTTTTCTTTGGGGAGTGGGTAGATACATGGTGTATGAGAGGGCAGATAGAGGGGGGGTCAAAACCACAACGGAGATTGAGGGTGTATGAGATGGCTGAAATCGCCGTGTCTGCCACTTCGTCATGGTTCTTATTGATGTCGTGCAGGGGATGTCGAAGGCATCGACGATCAAAAACCTCTAGGACCAGTTGAAGACACATTTCACGATCGAGGGGACGCGGGGGAAGAATGTGAAAAAGGGATCTAATTATTGGAGTTGCACCTGCTGCGACTTGCGGTTGCCCGGGACTGCCACGAGGCTCCGGGATCACTTCTTGGAGAGGTGCACTCTTGATAACGTAACCGTCCCGTTATCAGTGGAGGAGAGGGCGAGGAGGGAAGCTGGAATGTTAGAGGGGAAGTGCCTTGCTCGCATGTTGCTGCAGATCGAGGCTGGAGGTGCTGGGCCCAGCAACATGCCAACCACTTCAAGTCAGGCATCAGAGTTTCCGACCTCGCAGGTCGCTGGTGCGGGCATTACTGGCGAAACGTCCACACCTCAGTCCACTGGGGCACCGTTCTTGGATCGAAGCCAAGTTCGGGGAGGCCATTGAGGCAGACAGTGATCGAGGAGGCCGACAGCGTCGTCACGATGAATGAGCGTACGAGTCGATTCCCCGACCGGTTTTTGATATGCACCAACCAGTCGATCAGCTTGGTGGAGGACGTCTACTTCCTCGAGTTCCTTCAGGCCGTGAGGACGGCACATCCTACATGGATGCCTTGCAGAAGGGACGAACAAAGGACAAAGCGCTTGGACGGAGATTAAGCTGCAGATGGACGGCTGGTCGGACCGCCGCAACAAACCACATTTTAATGTCATGGTGGCCTCGCCCGTCGGTACAGTATTTTGGAAGTTCGTCTACATGGAGGGCAAGGAGAAGGATTCTGCGGCTTATTTTCGGGTGTTGAACGACGTGATCAAAGAGATTGGAGTGGATGTGGTCGTTGGTGTTGTCATGGACAACGCAAGGGTGTGCGTGAAGGCAGGGAAGATGGTGGAGTCCGCCTATCCGACCATCTTCAGCGTCGGTTGTACGACACATGCGCTGGACCTCGCACTGGAGGACATGCACAAGGACATGCCTTGGATCGCGCAGGTGGTCGATGCTGGCAACAAGGTCGGTCGTTTCTTCTCGAATGTGGACAAGGCAAGGGCTTTGTTCCACCATCACTCCCCGAAGACAAAGCTGAAGTGGTCGACGACGACCAGATTTGCAACCAACTTCGAGATGCTGCAGTTGAAGGAATTGTGGAAAGCTTTGGATCGTTGTGTGTGCGACAAGGGATGGGTGGACAAGATGGTGCGGAATGACCAGTTGGTGGCATTCCACGATGTAACAGTCGTCGTCCTCGACAAGGACAACTTCTGGAGGAATGTACAGAAGGCGCTTCATGTCATGCAGCCGGTGGTGGAGCTGCTCCATATGGAGGATGGGGCAAATAGCAACCATCTCGAAGGTTTACTTCCAGATGGATCAGGTTGTGCAGAATCTGCGTGTCCTGGAATGTTTGTTGGTGGCGGAGCACGAGGCGGTGGAGCGCATCCGCTGGACATTTCTGACAAGTGAGCTACATTGTGTTGCGGCCTTCTTGGATCTTGAGCATCAAATGCACAACGCACAACGCAATCCGGAGGTTCGTGTCGGGTTCAACATTTGGTTGTACTCTTGGATGTCACGGGAACGGCGCCAAGAAGTGAGCTCCCAAGTTGATCAATGGGTCAATGCTTTGGGAGGGTTCTCGACGGAGCAAGCTCGCGAACAAGCCAGCCACCAGCAGCCAGCTTTGTGGTGGGGGCGTTCGACTCTAAGCACGACCTCCTCGCACCACAAGCAATCAAATTGCTTGGCCAGGCAAGCTCCTTTGCCTCCTGCGAGCAGAATTGGAGCTTGCATGAGCATATGGAAGGAGGCGAACGAAGCTATTGCCAGAAAGGATGGCAGAACTGGTGTACATCAGTTGGACTGTTCGGCTGCTGAGGAATCAACGTGGCGAGGGGGATGATACCCACATCCCATGGGCGGACGACATCCTGCTGGACAAGGAGATGGAGGAGTGGTATGTGCAGTGGTTGGAGAACGGGTCCATGAGGATGTCGATCGTGAGGAGGTTGTGGAGGTGGACTGCGATGACGAGGGAGACCAGATCCCGATGCAGCGGACTTTCCTGCGGAATGACGAAGTTGACGACAGGCTGGTTGAGGAGGAGGACATTCTACTCGTCGGTACGAGGCGGTACGATTGGCACAAGTGCACGAAGCCTGGGAAGCACCATGAGCAAGAGTTGCGCAGGAGATCTGGTTGCCAATTTCCCGTGCCTGGAGAGTTGTACACGAAGGAGGGTTATGCTCTCGCAATGGAAGCGTGACGGGCAGGCACTTGGGTGCAGGGCGGGACGAGGCAGCAACAAAAAGGAGAGGGAAATCCAAGGTCAAACAGGCGGTGGAGGATGGCAATGCGCCCTCACAACATGGGAAGAGGAAGGCTGTTCAGCAAGAACAGCCACGACCGAAGAGGGGCCGTCCAACTTTGGCAGAACAGGCGGCATGCAGGGCGAAGAAGGCTGAAGACAAGGCTATTGATGCAGCAGCTGAAGCAAAAGCTGCTGCTGACAAAGTCGCAGCGGCCAAAGCCAGAGTGGCAGTAAAATCCGCCACAAAGAGCGCAGGTGGAGGGAAGGCCAATAAGTCTGTCGTTGTAAGTGACGACGAGGACGTGGATGTCCCCGAAGAAAGTCTGAAAGAGGACGAGCCTTGTCCACGGACTCAAGTTCTTCATTGGCTCCCTCATTATCTCAGCCCAGTGGGATGGAAGGCACAGACGGAGAAGGAAGTGAGGGAGATGCCCAATTTGAGGACGACGAGGAGGAAGATCGGGTAGAAGCTGAGTAGAGGGAAGTCGTTCGATCTATGATTTTAGGTATTTGATGCTCCAAGTGCAGTGTTTTAACAATGGTCGTCTTTTAAACATAAAGCTTTGAACTTCCAAATTTCGAACTGCTATTTTTTTCTCACAATGTACGAATATCCGCGTGATTGGATCGTTGATTGGATTTGATTGACTGTTTTTCTGTTGTGTTCGTCATTCTTTGTCGTGGGTGCTGCACTACGAATTCATTGTTGTGTCGAATGTGTTCCTTTGATGCCATGTTGTCGCACCGTTGGACGGATGCCCTGACTGTCGTCGCTGGTACGTGCATACTCCGACTGCAGGTGAGTGTTTGCAACTTTGCAACTTTGCAGCTCTCCCACCCCTCTGATTTGTCTGTAATTCAAGAAAAAGAAAAAAGAAAAAAAGACGAATGGCCGTACTTAGCTAGGAAGATTCTCACGCCCGGCCGCGCACCCGGGCATGACGCCCGGGGGGGTCTGACGCCCAAGGTACCCGGGCGTGCGAAAAAAAAAAAAAAAGAAGTTTCCGCGCTCTCCCAAAGGACTCCAAATCCAGGCTCATTTCGTTTTTTGTGAGTTGCCTGTGAAGGGGCGGGGRGGGGGGGTATAAATTGGTTTTAAAGGGGCTAAAGGGGCCTAAAGGGGGGTGCCTTTGTGTGATTCTGTTATTTTCTCTTTTATCTCCTATTCTGTGAGGAATTATAATGTGACCCTCGGCCAAAAGTGGTTTGCATTTGCAAGGAACATGAATATGGACGAAGCACAGAAATCCAAATTGCAAAATCACACTGAAATCCATGTAGTCAAAGCAAGAGCAGATAGCACAATGGAACCAAGTAACCATCCATTTGAAAATGATACAGCAGAATCGTGAGTCAATGTCCAAGCCCAATCGGGCAACACCAACAGCATAACCCAATGTAGCTCTCTCTCTTGAATGGCGCCAAGCGCCCTACCTACACTACAGCCTAAAACTACGACTATAGCATGAAAGCAACCAGACAACTTGACGACCAGCGAGTGATGACGTCAACACCAATGCCGACTCCCCCTCCACCAGGTACGTCCTCTCTTCACCCACACTCTCCCTTGATAACCCACACAGCACCCTTCACCTCCGAAGAACCACCTTCGCCCTTCCTCTGCGCCCTCAAGCAGCCCGGCTATGGCCGCCAGCGCCCTGTGCATAGGCAGCGCCCTACCGCCTAGCGCCCGCCTGCCTTGCACCTCAGCCTAGCGCAGCTCATGCACAGCGCAGCTCCTCGCATTAGCGCAGCGTGCCCGCAATGCCTGCATTGGCCAAGATCCCTGCCCACTCGCACTCTCTGCCTATATGCCAGTGCAGCGTGTGGGCGGCCTGCCTTGAGCCTGTGCCCCGGTCCCAGTACCTGCGCCCAGGCCCAACTCAGATGTGGCCCGGGCAGTACAGTTGTGCCCCTTGTGCCAGGGCCGTCGTCCAGATGCAGACCCTTCCCGGTTTCCCAATGGTCTGCTCGGCCTCTACGACGGCTATGCTGCTTTCCCATTGGCCGACATCCAATGTGTGATGTGTCGGCCTCCCCTGGCTTGTGCCCAGGGCTCAACCAACTGAGGCCCTGGGCTCAACTGCTTCGAGCAGGAGTCTATGTTCCACAATGCACTCCAACCAACTGGCGTGCTGCAACTGTCTGATACCCACTTTACAAAAATGTTGAAAGAAAGGCCTGTTCGTGGATATTCTGGCCAGCCTTCACTTAGGGCGGTCACAGGTCTGGCCCGCCTTCACTTAGGGCGGGCTCTAGGCTTGCTGGGGCCTTAGCCCAGAACATACGCATGAGATGCTTACTTCGCAGGTGACTTCCCTTTCAGCTTTCTCTCATAATCTGCCACCACTTGAGGAGCTATCTCAATCAGTTCCTCTCTGGTAAACCAACGATCTTCTTTTGGATCCGTGTGATGCCTGAATCTGACGCGATACTCTCTCTTGGGCTTGGGAGGTCTTCCTCGGCCCAGCGGCTTTGGAACAGGTATGTCCCTGTGATCCACAATGTCGTCGATGTCCACTTGGCCATCCATGGTTGGGGGCAGCATCGATCTCCTTGAAGGGAATTGATCCGTCTCAGCTAAAGGTGCAAGCTTTGAGGCATGAATGACAAGGTAAGTGCGTAGGTGTCCAGGGACAAGGATGACATATGTGGGACCATCCATCTCATCCCCCACTATATCCAGGACTTCCCAGGGACCAAAATACTGAGGCATTAGTTTTCGAGAGATTCCGAACTCCTGTCCTAGCTCACTAGCCTTAACCCAGACACGTTCCCCTACCTGAAATGAGGACTGTCGTCGATGTTTATTCTCAGAAGCAATCATTGCTTGCTGAGCTTTCTTCATATGCTCGACAGCTTGCTCTAACAACTTCTCATATTGCACACCATACTCAAGTGTGCCTGGAGTTGCAGAGGGTCGGTTTTCGGGTAGGAGGAAGTCCAGTGCTGATCTAGGCTTCCATCCCAAGTGCAGCTGATTAGGACTAACGCCGGTACTGCTGTGTACAGCGTTGTTGTACAAACTGGCGATGAGAGGCAACTTCTCATCCCAGTCATCCTGGTTGGGCTTGATGTAATGGCTTCGGGATGATTCCCTGAAGTCATTTGAAGTTGACTGCCCATCTGTTCAACAGTCTTCTTCCACAGCTCACTTGTGAAGCGGACATCTCTGTCACTAACGATTGACTTTGGTAAACAAAAGTCACGCACCCAGTTGTCCTTGAACAACGTGATGACCTGGCCAGTCCTTGCGGTCTCTGGCATAGCCACTAGTCTAGCGTACTTGGTGAATCGATCGATGATGATGAAGATGTGCCTCTTGCCACTCTTACTGGTCACCAGGGTGTCCATGAAGTCCATGGAAACACTCTGTCCTGGACCACCGGGGATAGGTAAGGGCTTCAGCAACCGAAGCGGTGCTTGAGTATGCGGGTTGTCCCGCTGACAGACCTGACAGATCTCTACGTACTTTTTCGCGTCATCCAGCATTCCAGGCCACCAAAATCGCTGAACTAGATTAGCACTCCTCTTTTTGTAGCCAAAGTGCCCGGTTGCGTCATGGCATTCTCCTAGAAACAAACTACGCAAACGTTCACTAGATGGAACTACTAACCTTTTTATTCCGGCCTTATCAAGATAGAGTAGCCCGTCCACCATCACAAACTCACTTTCCGTGGTCTTGTCTTTTGCTTGAAGTTTGCACATGATGTCCATCGTGACAGGGTCTTCCTGATAGGCTCCCACCAACGATTGAGTTACTTCTTCAGGCACGCCAAAGTCGGAAACTAGCGCACCTAGGTAGTCTGCCCTACGTGATAGCGCATCTGCAACCTTGTTGTACTCTCCCTTTAGATACTCAAGTCATATTGGTCGATGACCTCAATCCATCGCTTGAGTGCATCAGAAAGAGCCGGTTGAGTCTTGATCCATTTGAGGGTCTGATGATCAATCCTAAAGTAGAAGAACCTTCCCAATAGGAAGTGTCTCCAATGGACAAGTGCTTTATATAGAGCATAGAGTTCCCTTTCATAGGTGGACTTTGCCAGTTTCTTCGATGGCATCTTCTTGCTCATGTACTCAATCGGTCTCAAATTCTTCCCATCCTGTTGAGCCAGCACTGCGCCAATGCCGTATTGGCTTGCGTCAGTGGTCACTATGAATGGCTTCTGAGGATCGGGAACCATGAGAACCTCATGATTCATGAGTGCATGATTCAATCTCTTAAAAGCACCCTCGCACTCATCACTCCAGTTCCACGGCGTGTCAAGTCAAGTTAGATCTGTCAAAGGAGAGGTGACTGTAGAATAGTTCTTTACGAAGTTCCTATAATAGCCCCACATTCCTAAGAAAGATCTGACCTCAGTGATTGTCTGAGGTCGTGGCTAGTCGCGTATACTAGCCACCTTCGCATCTTCCGGCCTAATCCCTTCTGCGGATACTTCGTGACCCAAGTATAATATCTTAGTGCGACCGAACTCACACTTCTCTAGGTTGACCTTATACTTGTATTGGAGTGAAAGTACAGTCTCAACGTGCTGTGCATGCTCCTCGGCAGACTTACTCAAGATCAGAATGCCGTCAAGGTAGACCACGACAAACTTATCTAAATGGTCATGGAATATCCGATTCATGGCGTGCTGGAATGTTCCTGGCGCATTGCAAAGACCAAAGGGCATCACTACAAACTCATACAGACCATATCTAGTCTGAAAAGTTGTCTTGTGTTCATCCTTAGGTCTTATAGCGATCTGATGATAGCCGGATTTCAAGTCTATCTTGCTATAGTACTTGCATCCCTGCACCCTATCCAATAGGTCGTCTATGCGAGATAGAGGCTCTACGTTCTTTACTGTGATGGCATTGAGGCCTCTATAGTCAATGCACATCCTCAATGTACCCCCCTTCTTAGGTACGAATAACACTGGAGATCCGTAAGGGGAAGTACTAGGCCGGATCCATCCCTTCTCTGTCAGCTCTTTGAGTTATCGCCGGAGTTCATCTAACTCGGCGGGAGCCATCCTATAGATCCTTCCCTTTGGGGTTTTACTCCCTGGAATGATTTCTATAGCGTGGACAACTTCCCTTTCTACGACTGTTGTGGGCTCTTCGGACAGATCAGGGAACTTAGCAACGACGCGTTTTATCTCTGGGGTGTTTTAACGGCCTCCCCTTTCTCAGAGACATACACTAGGTAGATACCCTCCTCTTGGTTCTGTTTGTAATAGTTATAGAACGCTGATGCACACAAGCAGCTATAGGTATCTATAATGCTACCGGCTTTGAACTTAGTCAATCTGACTGTTCTGCCATCGGGCAACTTATGTTTTAGCACCTTCTTGTCCCAGTCGAACTGGGGCTTAGCAACCTCAAGGTAGTACATGCCTAACAACATGTCGAATGGTAAGTCGTCGCTAACCAAGAACAAAATCTTATGATGAAGTTCTCCTCCTCCATAGGAGAAGGTACAGACTACGTCCTTGATATAGTCTGTGACTACCATGCGCTCTTTGGCCAAAGTAGATGCTACAGGTCTACTAAGGTGTCGTACCCGGTGCAATAGGTGCAGCCTTTCCAAACAATCGCGACTAATGTAATTCCGCATTGAGCCTATGTCTATGAAGGCACCACATTTGCGGCCTCCTACATCGACTTCCACGACGACATGTTCCCCTCTAGGACCTTTCCTTAGTGCCACCCAAGACTCGCGAGGGTCCTTGTTTGACCACTCGCTTTCTAGATCTTCTAAGGCTTCAGACACATCCCACGTACAGAGCATAGTTTGGTCTGGATGAGTCTGCTCATGAAGTGGGGAGGGTATCAGGCCCACTTCACCATAAGTAGAAGCAGCTAAAACTTCCACCGGCCTCACATGTTTCCCGAGCTAGAAGCCTGGGAAGAAGATGCTCCCATCTTAGGAGGTACCTTTTGCGTGACCTTTGTGTTCTGGCACTTGTACTGGGTGTGTCCGTATTCACCACAGATTATACAAGCGCCACGCACTCGAAGGTCCGGCCACACGTCTTGATCAAGACCTGCCTCAACCCAATCAGCCACTTTGGTCTGATTGGAGGGAGCCTTCCCTTGACTCTTTGGATGGCCCTTCCCTCGGCCACCCGCCTTAGCCTTGACTACTGCGGCGAGGGTGCTACCCTCAGCGTTCTCCTCGCGGTCGTACTCTGAAACGTCCAACAAGTCTGTGAGCTTGTCGATCTCAGTTTGGGTCCCATCGGACTCAACCATCATCAACTTAGCCCCCTTCTTCCATTCCTACGGACCCTTCTTCTTCCTCGTGTCATTCTGAGTTGGTTGAGCATTCCCTAGAGTGGCCTCCAAATCTAAGGCTTTTCTAGACAATGTCTCAAAAGAGTGATACTCGAGGCGTGCCTCGCTGGCCAGCAAGTTTTCTGAGATTCTCTGGGAGACATCTCACAAACGTTGTCAATAAGAACTGGTTATCGTAGTTGATACCAGGCCGGTAGCACAACCGGCCGGTCACTTTGGAAAGGCATTGTCGCAGGCCCGCAGGGCTTGGAAGGCAATTTCGTGAACTTAAGAATCACGTGAACTGGTGGTGAGTTCGTAAACACACAATCATCAATTCAGTGTCACAAAGTAATCAACACACCAATCCAATGCCGGCCTTTCCAACTGGCTGAGGCCATTATCTAAGGAGGATTACGACGAGTGGAAGAGAGTTGGCATTTGTTCAATCCTGTGTTCTTCTTCTTCTTCTTCTTCTTGTTTATTTCCTTGTTCTTCTTCCCTCCAGAGTCAGATTTATTTCTACGTGAGACACCTAAGTAACTCGTTCGCAAATTGGCGGAGGCCATTATGTGAGGAAGATGATGACGGGGAGGGGAACGGAGTTCGCATTCGTTCAATCCTGTGTTCTTCTTCTTCTTCTTCTTCTTCTTCTTTGTTTCCTCATTGTTCTTCCCTCCAGAGTCAAATCCACATGTACTCGACTTGCAATGAATAGCACTGTCTCAGAGTTGAGTCTTGCTGTGGCATTCTGAGTTCCACACGGGACCCTGCCGGGCCCGACCAGGTAGGCTAGCTGTTAGGTAGGGGGGGGCCTACAGGCCCTGTGTCATTTCAGTATAGGTAGGGGGGGGGAGGCGCTTCAGGACCTGTGTCGATTCGGCCCAGGTAGGCCCCATAGGTTGGTAGGCTAGTAGGTAGGCCCTGGCTCCCTCTCCCCCACCTTCTTCGTCTCTCCTCCCTCCTCCTCATCCATGTATGTCGGTGCCTGGCACTTCGTCTCTTTGTGATAGTGTCAGGTCCCCCTTCACACTGTTTGATGATGATGATGATGATGTTTAGTCTGTGTCACGACATTGATTAGGTCTGATTATTCGTATTCCAGTCTTCCGCTGTGCTATCCTTACTACATCTGTGAGAGGTGGGTTCTTGGTTCTGGTCTGTGCACCATATTGGCATGCGACATTTGCATTACGATCACAGCAGAATCATACCACCGGGAATTAGGGGAGTTACAACTTACAAATCCAGTACAGAGATATTTACTGCAGTAACTGCATCAAAAAGTGACTAAACACGTATTTGTACCATGGCTACGCCGGCCCCGGACAGCTCATGTCCGGGGGCCGGAGGCATGTCCGGTCACGTTCGGACGTCCGGACACATCCGGACATCTGGACCGGTAAGCAGGTCCGGAAATGTCCGGACCATTAAAACAAAAAAATCTGAAAAAAAGTATGTTATGCAGAATAACAATGCAAACCACTTTTGCCTCAGAGTCATGTCACAATTCCTAACCAAACTTCAGTTGAAAGTCAAAAATTATAAAAAACTTAAGAAAAGACTTTAAAAACTAATAAAAAGTAATGAATTATTAATAACTACAAAATTGGGGGTGTCTAATAAACTATTATAGAGAGAGAGCATGTCCGGACCCCCCAAAAAAGCATAAACGGGCCCGAAAAATCCCCAGAACAATTTTGGGGGCTTGGCTCCTCAATGCGGAAGGTGAGCTAGATCATGCAAGATGCCGAACTGCTCATCTCCTCCTTTGAGAAAGAGAGAGTTTTTTTTGCCCTTTCTCCCCATGCAGAGAGAGAGAGAGGTGTAATGACCCGCCATAACACAGACTGAGAACACTGCTGATTTCTGAAGTTCTGCTGATGGAATGGATGCCTTGCTGAGATTCCCGCATTCTGCTGTGTTTCTAAGTCTGTATGTGTGCGTGCCCGTGGACTTGCATGCCCGTGGACTTGCATGCCCGTGGACTTGCGTGCCTGTGTGAGTGCTTGTCGGCATGATTGTGGGTGTGACCCGCAAGGGTACTTGCTTGTTTGGCAGGCCCGTAGGGCCGGTACTTACCTGTGGCCGTGGCATTGAGGGTTGCAGCAGGGAAAACACTCAAGTAGCGGAGCCAGGGGCCCCCGGTGCTTAGACCAGCGGACAAACACTCAAGTAGCAGGTAGGCCGGTACCGCACCCAGTAGCCGTAGATGTGCCAGGTACTCGAGGCCGAGCAGAAGAAGACAAAGTTGGCATTTTTAGAGGCCCAGTAGCGGTAGGCTAGGTCTAGGCCGGTACCAGTCCATCCAGTCTGAGTCTAGAGCCTGTACGGGCAATATCAGAGTCTGCAATGATGTTTCCCTCCGAAAAGGGAGGAGGTACCGGTTGCTTAGGAGGCCGAGCGGCCTGGAAGTCCCCGCCCAGGAGGCAAGCAGGCCGCTATATCAAGAGGCTGAGGCAAGAGCTCGCCCTCATTCTTCAGTGCGCAAGTTTGGCGACACGCTGCTGGAGCGCTGGCTGGAGTGGCGCTGGGTAAGAGCCAGGAGCTTCCACCTTGGCTATGGTGGAGCTCTACCGGTAGGAGGAGGAGGGAGAAGGGGACCAAGGAGGAGAGTGGTGGGGTACCTACCTGGCTATGGTAGACACCATCTTCATCACCTTGTTAGGCGCTGCATCTGGAAGGCCCCAGTGGGGGTAGTGCCGCATCAAGGAAGCTCGGGACAGAGTCAGGCATGGCGGTTGAGTAGGCAGCGGCATAGCTGCAGGGAGTTTACCTGGGGACAGAAGGGCAGCAACATAGCTGCTTTGGGTTGTCCTTTGGACAGGAGGGAGAGCCCTCATTACTCAGCAATAGCCTCGGCCTGTATGTAGAGGAAGAGGAAGGGTGGCCATGGCTATGGTGGACCTCACGTTGTGCCTACAGTAGAAGTGGGATTCGGACATTGATTCTGGTTCAGCCATTCAACATTATTATTGTTACTTCTTGTTTGAACAAGAGGGGAGGAGATAAGGAGGAGGAGATTGGTTGGCGAGGAAGAAGAGCCTTGTCATTGGTCTATGCTGAGTACATCATCTTCTTCTTCTTTCTTACTTCTTCTTCTTCTTTCCCTCTCTCTCCTCTCAAGTTCATTCATTTTTTTTTGCAATTGGACGGCATTGTACTTTCTGATGTTTGTATACTTCGAAATTGGCCAGGATCGTAACAGAGGGAGTTATTGTCGTTCTTTCTCCTCTTCTCTTCTCCTCCTTTCAGAGAGAGAGAGAGAGACAGAGAGTGATAAAGAGAGAGAAAGAGAGAGGAGTGAAAGAGAGAAAGAGAGAGAAAGAGAGAGAAAGAGAAAGAAAGTTCTTGTCGTTATTTCTCCTCCTCTTTTCACAGAGAGAGAGAGGGAAGAGAACGAGTTCTTGTCGTTCTTTCTTCTTTTCTCTCTTCTGCTCCTCTTTTCAGAGAGAGAGAGAGAGAGAAGGACATGGTTATGGTCGCTATGTTTGGAGAGCGCTGCTCTCCCACACAGACATCTTAGGCATACTGTTGCTGGAGGCAATTAGCACAAGGAGACCATGTATCCTGACATGCAACACAAAGGAGAGAGTTGTAGGGAGATATTCCTCTGCATGAGGACTGGAGCTACTTTTTCCCATTGTGTTTTTCGTGGTGACTTTTTGCAGACTGGAGGCAATTAACAGAAGGATACCACTTATCCTGACATGCAACACAAAGGAGACAGTTGCAGGGAGATATTTGTCTGCATGAGGACTGGAGCTACTTTTTTCCATCGTGTTTTTCGTGGCGACTTTTTGCAGAGACGGGATTTCATCAACATCTGCAGACTTCAAACCTCGTCCAGAGCTAGCTACTGTTGCACAGAGCGAGCGAGAGAGAGAGAGAGAGAGAGAGAGAGAGAGAGAGAGAGAGAGAGAGAGAGAGAGAGAGAGCAGATTTATAGTACTTCTTTTCCTCTTCTCTTCTCCTACTCCTTCAAGAGGGAGAGCAGATTTCTCATCCTCCTTTCTCCTCGTCTTTCTCCCCTCTTCTCTCCTCTTCCCTTCTCCTGCTTCAAGAGAGAGAGAGAGAGAGAGAGAGAGAGAGCAGATTTCGCGTCCTTCTTTCTCCCTCCTCCTTCAAGAGAGAGAGAGAGAGAGAAGGGCATGGTTATGGTTTATATATTTGGACAGCACCGCTCTCCCAGACAAAAGGGGTCCTCCAGGACATCCGTTAAAATTGGATTGATACAGAGGAGATTAGCATGGCCCCTGCGCAAGGATGACACACATAAATCAAGAAATGATCCAAAAAAAGAAAAGAAAAGAAAACGCGACAGACAGAAGGGTAAAAGACTGTCTTGGCTTCAAAGGAATGACTATGCTGACTGAGAGCAGACAAGAAGCTCGATATGCGATTCCAGGAGGCAAACCTCTCATGAACATACAAAGAAGGTAAATACTAAAAAGTGTTTTTTTCAACTTTTTTTGTCTTTGTCTTTGTCTTTGTCTTTGTCATTTTCTTTTTCGTTTTCTTTGTGTGTGTGCGTCACAGTGTGTTGTCATATTCACTATACACTAAAAAAAAAAAGCACGACTGTGCCACACTGTTTTGTCGGACTTTCACCGACTGTGTGTGTTCTCGTTCAGGCCCACAAACCCATTTCTGGAGCTGCTGAGTGGGACACCACAAAGACGTAAGAAACAGCGAGGTTGCGTCCATGAGAGAAAAACTTACGTGGGCGTCATCAGAGTGAAAGTTGAACTGCGGCTTGAGAACATCGACTGTGAAGTGCAGGACCTTACTTTCGTCATTTGATGAGCCATCATGGTCTATCACTGCACACCTCCAAACCAGGCCAAGAGGGCAACAAAATTCAGAGAGAGTAATTCATGCTTCCATATGACTCTGAAGAATTCACATTGTTTTATGATGACTACTTTCCATGGCTACAAACTCGATATCTGGAACACGGCTCGCATATCAAGGGGCAGAGGCCATTTGAAAAGCATGAACCACCAGCGGGGCCAGGCCCTAACCAGCGTTCAAAGCGTGCGAAGAGCTGCGATGACCCTAAGAAGAATCAGGACAGAACCATACTCCCCAGCAGCCGACTGAACCGGAGTCGATGTAATAGCCCTAAAAAGAGAAAGAACAGAAGCATAATTACCAGCACCCCAGCGCAACAGCAAGTATGAACAACATTAAAAACGAAACCAAAAAACAACAGAAAAAGTATAAAAGTCGAAAAACATATAATGCTGCACTAAATTGCGTCCTTCGGGACATCCATTAAAATTGGAACGATACAGAGAAGATTACCATGGCCCCTGCGCAAGGATGGCATTTCTGGGAAAAACAAAATACTAGTAATGCATCGAATTGCCGTCAATGTAACGTCTGTCAGACAAAATGTGAGTTACATTCCAAATTCTTGCCCACTTCCGCAGAGTCAACTAGGACACTATCAATCTACGCAGACCAAGTCTAAAACCCCAACAATGATCATTTTCAAGCCCCATATACGGAGTCTGAGACTCTAAAACCAGAACCAATATAATTTTTTACCAGTGCACCAGTGTGGTGCGCTTAGCAATGCAGTGTCCCCACTCAGAGTGGAAAAAGAACCACAATTTCAAGCAGACTGAACTGTAATCGGCGCAACCGCCTCCGGAAAGAGAAAGAACAGATCGATGATTAGCAGACGGAGAGCAAATGTGCACAATCATAGGTACCAACAGTGTGTGCTGATCCACGAAAGGAACATGATTGTTACAAGTCCAAGGACCACAGCATTGGCAAAGGCTTCTGCATTTGCGACAAAAAGCACCCAATTGACAATATACCTGACGGTGGAAACGAGCCTTCGGCTGACGTTTCCGGACCACCCGTGATGGGAGCACAACGCTGCGCTGTGGTATCCGGTGGCACACAAGTGCTTGCCCCGTTTCCGGCCTTAAGAATAGCCTTGTTGTCTTCGGAGAGCGTTTTCAGCGGTTCATGCAGCTGCTGTGCATGCATTTCTTCAAGTTTCTTTCTTTGGGCGACCTGCCGTGCCGGGGAAGGCTTGGGTCCTTCAAACGCCTTTCCCATTGACTCTGCCCAGGCCCAGACTGCATCTCGAATCTTTAGAGTCCACAGCAATCTCAGGTAGTACACGCGAACTCTCAAGCAATCATCCGCTAGCGCAACACTCACAGCCTCATCGTCGCTCTCATCAGACCAGGGCATTTCATTTCCACTTCCCCCACTGTTTCCTACATGACGCGATTCTGGATGTGCCCTGCGTGCCAAAAACCCCAGCTTCCATTCCGTCAACAGGTTGAGATCAGCCTTGGGCGATTGTCTCCTTATAGTTATGGCATCGGTTGAGAACATGAACTCCCTGTCCTCCTGCTTTGAGCACAAACCCGGAATCGTCGGCGAGCTTCCGAACATTCCATACGCTGACTCTGAAACATCCATTAATTTGTCGAACCTCTGATTGGCAAAAAGATCGGCCTCGGTTTGGCCAGCACCTGATCTATAGGGCAGAATAGCCTTGAGCATCAACAGGTCGAGTCCTTGGAACACACAATCCAAGGCATCAGTTCGAGCACGAGGATCCTTCGTCGGCTCAGCGGCCGCTTGCTTTGCAAGCGTGACCGCAGTCACCTCTACTCCAGGTTTCCCACTGTGCCGGCTATAAAGAACCTCGTACTTGAACTCATCGGCCAGAAATACCAAACCGCCTGCTGGGTCATGCTCTGTAATCGACACATGTTTGATCACTGCTGGCTTTGCGTCCACACGCATCATCATCTCGATCATCAGCTTGTCCATCGACAAGTTTCCCGACCTCGGATATCTCGGTATTCCAAATCGTGGCCACCTTGCGAACATTCTTATCTTCATCGGTGGATAGTAGAGAAGATCCCAGAGAGCACGGACCCACACAACATTATGTGGGCCCAGATGCACAGTGGGCTCCTTCGGAAAAGGGACATCTATATCTGTAATGCCATTGCCAAAAGAACTACGTCGGGAGCCTCTCGTACGGTGCGGCCTTTGCATCGTCGGCCTGGTCGGATCTGCATCCAACACAGGCTGGATGGATGCAATATCCTCTGGAGACTCGTCGTAGCAAGGTCCCTCCTCCAAGTCCGACCCTGAGTCCTCTTCTAACATCGTGGAAAATGGCCTGAGTTTAAACTCCCACCCTAAGGTCATGGCTGTCGACCGGAAAGGGTCATACAAGTAAGGCCTCGGGACGAGCTCCTCGGGCAACGCATGTAGATAATGGTTGAAAGGGTCTCCCGAGTCACACTGCCACTTCATATCGATGTTCAGGATAAAGATGGGAGACTCAAGGAACACAGGCCTGTTCGAATCATCTGGAAAACCTTGGCTCCCTGCATCCCCCACAATCAAGTCGCGGCTGCTGACCTGAGCACGAAACTTCTCTGAAGTGATGGCCACTTTCCCCGCCGTATGAACGGCCTTCAAGCACGAGTTCGTAATCAGCATCAGCTGTTCCTCTTCGTACGGGTCCGCAGTTGCAAGAGTATACCACTTCAAGTCCTTGAGTACGACAGTGTTCTCTCCATGCACATAGTACCGAACGTCATCCCACCACGGGAGGTTCCTTTCTTTCTTGGGAGGTGGCGGCGGAAGACATGCCCCTGGATTGCGGCTGCTCAGCATCGCCCTTCGCAGCGCCACGGTAAAAGCATAGCTCACATCCGCCAACGTCGTCTCATACCCAACGCCGTAGGAAACCTTTGACCTCTCGAACTCCGCGTACAGTTTGGAATACATCTTTGTGGGAGGAGTCATTCCGCTCGCTGATCTTTTCACATGCACTCTGCGCCACCGTCCAATGTACACTTCCTGCACCACCTGCGGAGGTGGGACTGTGGCCTGCCCAAACAACAAGCGCCATTCATGGGTTCAGTAACAAAGCACACACCCACGTTTCATCCCAATCCTCTGCCAACCTCAGATAATGAGGGAATAGTTGCATTACCTTTTCTTTGTCGATGTGACGTGATACCATCTGGATTCCAAGTCATGATCCGGTCATTAAACCACCAGTCCATAGGACGCTAAATTGACAAACGCAAAAAAAAATTGTTTTCTTCCGAGCCTGCGATCTCCGATGTATGTTGTTGTCTGAACTTGTTTCCTTCGAGGGAGGTACCAGTACCAGCCTACCTTGAAACTGAAATCTTGTACCTCATGCCAGCAGATGGCACGAAAAAGATAAAGGAAACAAAAAAAAAAAAGACTAACTCGGGATCAATGATCCCGGGGAAAGCCTCACCGAGGGCATAATCACACTAGTACTTTAGAGAACGTATGTGACCACTATTACGGCCAAATCTTTGTAGTTGTTGTTGCTGTTTTCTTATTTTCTTTAGTTCTTAGTGCCTGCCAGCCAGGCCAGGCTTATTCCATTAACGCGCACACTGAGGGTGTACTCACACTACTTGGCTTCGCTCCTTTGTGGTAAAAAGCTCTCTAAACACATGCAGCCAGGCACAACTTCAAACACACCCTCATTTTGCCTGCATCGGGCCGGAAAGATGGGTTGTATACATGCATTATCAGGGTGCGTTGTGTTCAGGGGAAGCCCGTAGTACTTTCCAGGTTGCTTCTGACCTCCTCTATCAGGGCCAAATCTTTGCTTCTTTTCTTTTTCCATCGTTAATTTCCTTCCACGTAGACCAGCCGAGTTTCTCGTTCTTATTTTTGTTTTCGTGATTTTGATTTCGGTAGATCTTTCTGAGCCCACCAGCCTTTTCACTGTAAAATTTGCCACTGTATTCGGCGCCCGAAAAAAATCCGCAGTGCAGGGTTCGATGAACTGGTGGTTTAACAGTTACAAGGTTGTACCGTGCAGCCACGTGTGGCCGGGCAGACGGTTACTTTACCTTGTTTGATACAATGCCGCATGCCAATGCCCTTATATTTGCAAGGCTTTCCCCAAACGTGTACATAATCTCCAACACCTTCCAGAAAACTGTCGTAAAACTTTGCCGACAGTTTCCTCTACACACCGTCTCCGGCCTAAAGATTTTACTAAGGCTATACAAGCGAAGTTTTGCAGACCACTGCTATACTTCCCAGCATGCATTGGACACACGGACACACTAGAGCTGCAAAAGAATTAAAAAAAAAGAGCAAAAAATAAGCCAGAATCTAGTGAAATTAGTTAGGGCAAAAATCCTCCGCCCCACCCCCTCAACCCACTCCCAGACTACCACCGTCTTCCCCAAAATAGAAGGTCCGGACATTATAGCTGCATTTGGGCCAACGTTTTCCGTCAGTCTAGATACAGCGATAACGACCATACGTTTTATTCCGGGGAAGACGGTAGTGGCATTTCATCGTCATTCATCAAGGATGTGGCATAACAAGACGGGCTGCAATGTGTCATCGCACCTGTTGCGCAAATATAAGCTCGCCATGACATTTTGCCTCCTCGCCACCCAGGAGAGGATATGGATAGTCTCTGAGATGCACGTACAACTCAGTTGCGTTAACCACAAGATATCGTCCAAGAATCCTCGACAAGGGAGCCGGTGTTCCAGGTCTTACACTGTCAAAGTCACGAACAAGCTTCTCCATTCCCTCCCAGCCACCCGGAATCGGTTGCAGTACGACCTCGAGCAGTGTTGCTTTGATCGCCAGCACAGCCCTTCTAGATTCGGGCTGCTTAAACCGGTTCTTCATCCACCCGTCTTTCAGCGGTCGCACATCCTTTCTGACACTCTTCACATAATCACGGGAGATGCATGCACGAAGCTGACTCCAATGATCATTTGCGACCCACGGCTCTTCGTCCTTGTCACCTTTCAGATCCCCCACTTCCTCCTGCTTTCTGCTATTCCTTCTTCGTACTGACAGCGGCGGCACTCCTCTTCCCCAGTCCGGTGCTTCTTCTGGGCGCCCCTTGGGCCCCAATGTCTCATCGAGATTCTCCTCCCTCAGTACCATCTCCCTCACATGCTTTTCCAACAATCGATGGTGCATGTCCAGCCAGCCTTGAAATGGGTCCTCCTCGATATCCAGAACCACGTCTCTCGCACTTATCTTCACCTCCCCAATGGACGATCTCTTGTTCTCCTTGGAGCGTGGGCGTGACGTGCGAGGCGGTAGGCCCTGTGCCTTTCTCTGTGCTGCAAGGGCCAGTTTCAGCGCTCTCCAGCCATCCTCTACGGAGTCTTCAACTCCTCTGAGTTCCAACTTGTACGGCATTGTTAGCCGCACCCCCTTTGCCTGAATCAAACAATCGGACACCTCCACATCCAGATCAGGCCCATGCATACTGAGAGTGCTGCCACTGTCAGACGCTCGTGCCCCATAATGACCACCTACGTCTGACTCGCCATCCACAGACTCAGGTGCTGGCAGTTGTGAGACTTGCAGACGGTCGCACGTGAATATCACAGCTTCGTTTATACTTGCGTCTATGGTCTCCAACAGCACACCGATTCTTGCATCCTCCGAGAACACAGCTTGTATCCCCAGTACGAATTCCACCCCGTCGCCAGCGGCAGCCTCCAGCCTTAAGCATTCCATATCAATAGCAATAACCGGTGGTAGTGCTAGGGTTTCCACTGGTTCTGCTAAGGGGGTTTCTGCACCCTCCGTGTCCTCCGCCACGGAAAACCCGTCCTTCTCCAGATCCATGCTCCCCATCATCATTTCTTTTCCACCCATCCCAGCCTCTTCTGTCACAGAGTCACTTCCCAAAGTGCCTGCTCTTGTCTCATTTTCCTCTGGCAAAACTGCAGGTTCTACCAGAGTCGCATCGCCCTCCTCCTTCGATTTTGCAGCCAGCACCTTGGCATCCAACATTAACTGATTGAGAAACAGGTGCACGTCCGGCTCCCAGCGCCCTTGCATCCCAGATGACGTGACTAAGAAGTGCTTAGGTGTGCCATCCTCTGGCGACTCCATGTTGACATCAACATCCAGTCTGCTGAATCCAAAAACTACCACATCTGTGATCGGCTTTGACAAACGGTCGACACCACCGTCAGACTCTTTGTACCTGATCTGGAAACGGTCCGCGGCCATTCGGATATCACGCATATCCTTGTCTCGTACCAGCGACAGGTCGGTCAACTCTAATGCCAATCGACACATCACGGCTTGCCGAACAACGCCTTGCCACTCAGCGGGCATTACGTCGGCGCTCCGTCCACTGTACGCACTCAAATCCTCATCTGGCCGGCTTCCCATCAACCGACCCTTGGGATCCAGCACCGTCTCAGTCTCCACCGTCATCAGCCGGTCAAAATGCAAGGCCACATCTCTAATCTGCAGCTTGATGCACTTTGCGCCGGTTCTTCCTTGGCCGGACTTCTTCGCCTTACCCCTCCTCCTGCGAGATTTCGTCATTGGCGGACCAGATTTTCCTTTGCAGCTATTCGCAAAATCTTTCAATGATTTTGCGTTGTTAGAAATTGCACGTAACCGTGGAAGATTCAGATAAACACCTCCCCCTGTGACTTCGACCAACAAAGTTAGCTTCTCTAGGAGCTCACCGACCGCCTCCCCATCTTCATCTTCCAGATCGATCGCACCATCTAAGTCATGGCCTTCCATTCCCCATTTCCAAAAGACTCGCGATATCCTCATTAGACAAGCGGGGTTCGCCTCCCCTCCCAACAACATGTCTTCCAGGCATTCCTGTTCCTCGTCAGCCATGTTAATCTGGAACTCGCTGAGGTCGCCGTGTATCCGAACACCAACCGGTTCTGCCTCCACACCGCCAAAAAACTTCACTGTTTGTGAATAAGCCTGCCCATCAAACCATCCATCAAGCCCAAAAAAAAAACATTAGTATGTCGCTCACGATGCATAATCAACTCAGTGAACATGCGTTCAACACCAATTGGTTCTGCCTCCCCACCGCCAAAAAACCTTCCATGTTTGTGAATATGCCTGCCCATCCTCAGACCATCAAGTCCGAAAACATTAGCAAGTCGCTCACGACGCATAATCAACTCGGTAAACATGCGCTCATTGTTACTTGCCCCCAAATCAATCGCTGCAATTCTTTTCCTTAAGCGGATATCCCCCTAATTTCATAGATTGTTTTCCCTTTCTGAGTTTTTCCTTTTTCCAAATTTTCCTCAATAAAAACGGCGACGGCCTTGACATATCATCGTGAAACTGGCCAGCCGTCAAGAGCACGTCGAGCGAAGACAGGAACGATGACACAAATTGTCATTCCTTACAATTGCCAAACGACGGTGCAACATAGAGACCACCAGATGTGCAAGGCCCAGGCTCCAGTTTTTTTCCTTTTGTCCTAGGCTACCAGCCGGGCCGCCCGGGTCCCGGGTGGCCAGCCCGTGCACGGAGCAGGGAAGGTCTCAACGAAAAAAAAAAAAAAAATCCAAAAAAAACTATGTTATGCAGAAAAATAAACTGAACAGCTTTTGCCTCAGGGTCACATCAAAATTCTTCACCAAATTTAAAATAAAAAATAAATTTTAAAAATCTTGTTTTTATTATTTGTTTTTTTTTTTTTTTTGGCCCGGCCGGGCAAGTGACCCCGGGCCACTCTGGTAGCCTAGCTTTTGTCTTTAATTGTCAATGAAATGAAAAGAGCACTTACTCTGTAAATGGGCTTTCCGTCTGACCCATAGATAATCAACGTCGCTTCCGGAACAGACATGGTAGCGTTCCACAAATTCCGCTTCCAAAAAGCCCCCTTCCCTTTGCGGTTGGGAGCGACCAACTTCGATGCATTGTCAGGTTGGGAAGGTTGGGCTTTTTGAGCGTGCTTTGCTTTCCTGCTCTTCAATATTGCCAAAACAGTGTCGATCCACGGTGCCAAACTGCTCGGCATGATCGCCAAAGTTGTGCCGCCAAGTTCTATGCCTATGTTTGCCGGAGTTGGGCCCAAACATTCCTCTTGGGTCCCCAGCGACAAAGGCTGCGGAGTATCCGTCCTCTGACTGGCCGACACAATGCCACCGGGTGTCTGTGCATCCTCGTCCTTTGCCACAGCATGAAAGTCCAGGTTCTCGTCAGCGTCAGCCCCTGCCACGTGTTTTCCCTCAATTTCGGAGTTAAGTCCTGGTTTCTTCTTCGGTTGCGCCAGAACACTTCCACCTGCAGGCTGCATGCATCAGAGAGAAAAGCCAAAAAGCCGCACAAACAGCCCAGTTCACACCCTCGGACCTCGGGACCATAAACATCCTTTTTTTTCTTCATTTATTTATTAACATCCTTCCTGGGTAATGCGCATCACAACCCGGCACAAAGAGTTCGTGATTGACGCAACAAGTCAGCATCCGACCAAACCTAAACGAAGGCTACCGTTCAATTTCCTAGAAAGGGGAGTCATCCGGCCGCATCGAGGGAACAGAGATTCACCTCAATATATACTTCATGTGTTTACGTCAGATATGGTAGCCGTACCCCTCCAGTTCGACTTGCCGGAAAACTGCGTAGCATCGTGTCCATGTTCGGAGACAAACACGAACATGTTCGCCCGAACGTGAACGAGCGCCCAAAACCCTCCGAACGCAAACATGAAAAATGTTATAAAACAAATAAACAAAAATCTCTGAAAAATCTGAAAAAAATATACAACAACACAAGCAACTTTCGCCTTGGAGTCATGTTCAAATTCTTAGCCAAACGCAAGTTCAAAATAAAAAACCAACATGTTTTTTTAACTTTTTTTTTTCTTACCAAAAAAAAGTTCTTCGTTCGAACACGTTCGCGAGGCGTGTACGTGCGAACTTGGAGCGGCGCGAACACGTCCGCCGTGCTACGCAGCCGGAAAAAAAGTTAGGACCCTGAGGAAAACTGCTAGCCCGACATGACAGCTCCAGTTTTTCCTCCTTTTGTTGTTACACCATGAATGTCTCCCTCTCCTCCTCTCCATTCACTCCTTCACCTCATTCCTCGGCTGTGCTGTCACCTCACAGGACTCATACACAACTATCATGCCGTTTCCCTGACTGCAACCCATAACTGGCTCCTTGGGGGCCATCAGGTTTAACTTTGCAGATGCACATATTGGTACGCGTTCAGATGGCTACAGAATTCTTCGTGATAGATGCATTTTAAAGAAAAACAATGCCACCGAAATTATGCCTCCCCAACCTCTCTTGCTTTTCCGAAGAGACAGGGGAAACACAAAAGGTTGCTGATTGTGGAGGTAGAGTTCTCAGGAGAGGTTGCCAGGTTCCTTGGGGGCCATCAGGGTCAACCTTGCAAATGCACATCTTGGTTGAAAACGCTTTTTCGTCATAGATCAAGCGGTTTGTTACCACGGCTTCATCTGTGGCAGAAAAGAGGGAGGTGCGTCCTGAAGGTCTCTCTCTCTTTCTCTCTCTCTCTCTCTATCTATCTATCTATCTATCTATCTATCTATCTATCTCTCTGCATCTCTCTCTCTCTCTCTCTCTCTCTCTCTCTCTCTCTCTCTCTCTCTCTCTCTCTCTCTCTCTCTCTCTCGTGGTGCTGTCTTGCTTTTGCACCGGGCCAAACACATCGAGGGAACCATCGCACAGCCGTACCAAAGAGAAGCGCCCGGCAGCTGCAGAAACGATCCCACCAAGCGGTGCAAATTCTTTTTTCGCGCACTGGGGTGCAAAAGAAAAATCTATCCGCTCAGCACGGATCCTTTGCAACACGTATGAAAATGATTGTGAAACACAAGAGAAAAGGCCTGCGTGTGCTTCCTACCCGCTTCTCGGACTCCCGGAGTCCTGAACCGATGAGCCGACAGAACTTTATCATGTGCGGCCCGCTCTTCACCTTCAGGGGGTAATGGATGACAAAAAATCGAAGAAAAAGAAAGAACGCCCCTCTAATTAGTTGTTGAGTCTCTATTGTTATCCCAAGAAACCAGTCTTGGAGACATGCCCACATTCGACTTCTCTGTTTCATAATTGGCATGTGCATTTCACCAACCCGACCCCCGACAAACAAACATCTCTCTGCGCCTTTTCATCACACTCGCCCTAATTTTCTTGTTTCTTTTTAAGACAAAAAAAAAGGACCATTTCTCAATGAATGTGTGTCATCCTTGTGCAGGGGCCATGCTAATCTTCTCTGTATCATTCCAAATTTAACGGATGAATTTTCTTGATGCTTGGTTCCTCAAAGCTCCTGCCAGATGGCAGGAGTCCAAAATTGTCCATCTGGTGTCGTCCTACCAGGCGGAAATAAAAACAATATGACATGAACTGTGTACATTTAGGTTAGGAAAGGAGAAGCAAAAGTAGTGACGTGCACTCCCCGCCATGCCACAACCACACAGAAACCAAAATCGGGAAGCATGAGCTCACACCCCCTTCAAACTAGTCCAGAACAGCAATGCAGAGAAAAGCTCCGTCTCAAACACTCTCCTCTCCTCCGCCCTCAGTGGACCACCCTCCGCTCGTACACCCCTCTCCCCCAACCTCCCGCTTTCCCCCACCCACCCCCTTCACAACCACAACCTCCCAACTTTGGCCCAAAAACGTTTTTAACCCAAAAACAAGCTTTATGACCCAAACACAAGCTTTACAACCCAAACACGGTTTCACGAGTTCAGATTATCCATCTTGCGCATCTCTCAGCTTTACCTATCCAGGGTCAAGCACAGATCTCGGGGAGCCCGGGGGGGGGGGGAACAGGGATAAGCCTCCCTAGGCCCTCTCCAAGTCTTTCAGTTTGCAGAGCTCTGCTCAGAGGAATCAAAAAGGGGAGTGGAGCAGAGCGGCAAAATCCAATCAGTTGGCTTGCTGGAAAGAAAAGAAGACACAACACAATGCGCTGCCAAATGAAATGAAACGGCAACCACATAAAAGAAGTGAAAAGAAGACACGATGCATTGCCAAAAATCAAGAAGACACGGAGTCCAAATGGTCAATGGTACCCAACACCTGATAGACGTGATGTGAATGTGTTCCTCCGAATCCTCCCACCCAAAAATTCAATCGCCACACTGCCAGGAACCATTGGTGCCGCCAATCACCATGGTGTCCTTTAGGGGTCCATTTCTGGTTTTCCTTGACCTTTCCACGGATCCGCATTCGACCACCCCCCCCCCCCCCGCCCCGGCCCTGCCCTGCCAGCAGAGGAACTCCGGCAGCCGCTTCGCAGCAACATTGATTCATATAGTTGTAAGTGTACCGGGAGCAGAAAGTGGGTATTGGGACTACATGCAGAACCTCAGAGGCAGGCATTCCCTCACCTACCGAAAGAGGAAACCCAGCAGCGACTTCAGAGGAACATGGAATCGTAGTTGTTTGCGCCAGAGAATTGTCTTTTTCCAGTGATACCTACGTCTTCACGAATCGCACACACTCAACCAAACAATAGTAGAGACATTGCAACAGACTTGCAACAACCATATGTTGGAGAACAGGCTTCACGCACCCTGTGGGGGAGATTAATTATTGCCTCAGTAAAAGGCATATTATACCTCAACGACAAGAAATATGGACACCGCCACCGACACTCTCAAGATCTGCAGCAACGTTCCTTCAGGAAAACCACCTAGCTGCATAGAACACGTGCACCACAGGAGAAAGTGATCATATCGGGTCAAGAACAAAGACAACCTGAAAAAGAAGAAGAAGAAGAAGAAGAAGAAGAAGAAGAAGAAGAAGAAGAAGAGAAGAAGAAGAACAAAGACGACCTATGAAAAAAAAAAAAAAAAAGAACAAAGACTACATCAAAAACACATCTGAAAACGTGTGGAGTGGGAGAAACCTGGGTAGCACGGCGTACGTGTACGCGGGTTGCGCGTACACGCGTACACGTATTCCTGTACGCGACACGTACGCGCGTACACGTACTCCCGTATGTGGGAATACGTAAAAAAAAAAAAAAAAAAAAAAAATCATCAAAAAAATCTGAAAAAAAAGTATGTTATGAAAAATGATATTTCAAACAACTTTTGGCTGAGTTTTATCTCGAAGTTCTGTACCAAACTCGAGTTAAAAATCAAAGACACAAAAAATAAACAAATTGAAATAATTAAAAAAAAAAACTAGGAAAAAAAAACACAAAAATAAAAACAAACTTCTATAACAAATATATGTTATGCAGAAACATGATACAAACAACTTTTGCCTGTGAGTCATCCCCGAATTCCCAACCAAACTCGAGTACGAGATTAAAAACTAAAAAAAAGGTAATATGATTATAATAATTAAAAAACTATTTAAAAATATTTTTTTAATTTGTTAAGGTTTTTGATTTTTAAATCGCGATTGGTTTGGAATTCGCGTACGACTCCCAGGCAAATGTTGTTTGTATCATTATTCTGCGCAACATACGTTTTTTTTTGTTTTTTTTTTACGTACGCGTACGCGCGATTTTGGGTTCGTACGCGTACGCGTACGGGGTGCTACCCAGGGAGAAACTAAGTTAACTAACTTTAACTAAAGGGCATACTCACACGAGGACATTTTTACTTGTTTATGGACGTAATTGTGGTCAGATGCATTCACGTCCGGCCATAAATGCGGTCAGATACATTTGTGACACGGGTAGTGTGAGTACACCCTAAGTCATTCCCTAACACAAATGAAGGCTACCTTGAGCTCATTTACCTCCCACGACGTGCAGGTACGACGTGCGTTCTATAGGAAGGACAGCTTTGAGCCCGCAGCCGTCTTCACTCAAACACTATGCATGCTCATTACGCCTGCATCAAAATGGAAGGACAGCTTACATTCACAATCATGGCACATATGTCGAGGGTAGAGTGGTACGCAGTGGTCGTAACAACCGACCAGGTGCTGAACTCACTCTACGCCAGCTACCCGAAGCTGGAACGTCAATGACCCCTTCTCCCAAATGTAAGACATGGTCATTGTAACTGTACATGGCCATGATTTCGTCATCGTAGCCACTTCTGGCCTCAAATTTGCCCCAGGTACAGCTACAATGACCATCCATTATGTTTAGGGGACGATGCGATGCGACCAAACAGCCAAACTTTTCAAAAGTCTTCCCCGGCCTATGCCGAATTATTCAGGTCACCGCTGGCCTATGCCGACCTGTGCAGCCCAATAAGCGTTGTCCGGATTTGGCCATATAGGCCTATTTCTGAGGGAGGGTCACCTCAAAAAACACGAAGAAAGAAAAGAGGAGACGATGAAAAACAAAGACTGGCACAGAGGACCTCAACCCAAACCACTTCTGGCTGAACATCACCTACAAATCCTTCATCCAATTGAAGATAAAAAGCATAAAACTCAAAATCAGAATAAATATCAATAGGGTCAGCGGCCAAGCTCAGTTGGTAGAGCGTGTAAGCGGAATTTACGAGGTTGCGCTTCTGGTTCATCTGCGCCCCTAGTTGGCCTTGGTAGGGGGTGCCCTCCCTCCCATCCAGCGCTAGGGGTTAGGTTCGACTCTGAGGGGACAGGCTCAACCCGGAGGGGATAGGCTCAACCGCTAGCAGATTTAGTAATTTACCCCTTTCAACTTTCAAGTTCCAACCTATAACCCTTAGTGTACTGCACCTTTAAGTGCACAGATGGGGGTTGTTGTCTGTAGGTGGCCTGTCATTATTCCGGGATAGGCTAGACCCTTGCTTGTCCGGTTCGTGGGTAGACCGATACATAGATATGGAAGGACGCTTTACTACAAGTGAGTAGATAATGTGTGGTAGATAGGTAGCTCCTAGCTATTGTGATGCCGAAACAATGCTGAGGGACGAAAATACGATAGTAAAATACAGCTGTCCCCCATGTGAGGAGAAGACAGCTGTATTTATCTATTAAAAAAAAAACAAAGTAACTACATAAGTCAACACAGTTTCATCGACATACCTGCCCCGACAGCTCAGACACAGTTCCGCCAGCAGAGGGATGAGGAGGCATCGTTCTGCCTGAATATTCCCTGTCGGTGAGCTGAAAAAGCATTGAGAAGTTAGTGGGTACATGAGAATGGCCAACCGCAAGATTGCACATACAGATCGCAGGAAAGATGTGTGCCGTACTGCAGCCTCACAGAAACGTGCCAGTGGGACCCTACCCCAGAAGACGAAACAGCATGCGTACCGTCTTCTTCCCCCACTCCAAACATAACTCACCCTCATCACGACCGTATTGAACTGGAAAGATAGCTTGTATACATTCATAATCAGACCGTATTGAACTGGAAAGATAGCTTGTATACATTCATAATCAGACCGTATTGA